AAATGGGGATTGAGGTAATATGCAGCTGCATGTAAGGGTCTATGGAGTTGTTTATCCCACCTTTCATCAATAATATTCCATACAGGTTCATAACTATAAATATGAAATAAATACAAGTTAGGAATATTGCCATTATCATATACTAGAAACACGAGTACATAACTATACTAAATAAGATCATTAAATTTCAATAGAGATATAGTTTAGAACTAAGAAAAGTTTACATTTTCTTAACATTGCCGAAGTTGATTTTTATCTTTTCCTTGGCACAATCCATCCCATCATATATAAAACCCATGAAAGGTTTTTCATCAGAATCCACCAAGCGAAGGACAGTCATAAGAGGAACAACGGATTTGAGACGTATGATTATGTTCTTCCATAGACGACTATTTAAAGCCATGCCTTCCACCTTTCTTCCCTCCGATGTAGAGGAAAACTTACTTGATTTCCACTTATTTGAGCTAAACATAGATGGAAATTTATAGGTGTAAGATGTAACGTTCTTTCTCCATCTTGTCTTTTAATTGTTTTATATATTATTTTAAAAAGAGGAGTTTTATTGCTACTACCACTGCTAGCATCCAATGCTAGCTTCCATGCCTCAATACTAAAATGAATTGAGGCAACAAAAAACATATATTATATTTATTTATTTTCATTATTGGATATCCCTGTACGTGCCGTAAAGTAAATTTCCAATCGAGTTTTAGGCTTCTACTATGGCATGAAATATCCTTTGTAATTGTTGTCAGTAGTAATATTTGAAAGTTGAAGCTAAAGGCCTCTGTTTTGTCTATTGTCTTTCCATTATAATATGATATGCCATTCATTTGATTATTTAATTAATATTTTGGTTACATTTCCGCTACCTTATAATTTAGTTTAAATTTTTTCATACTCAATTATTAAAGTTGATTATGTGCTAGTGAACTTTACGTCCGGGTTGGAGGGCCGTGACTTTAATTTAAACAAAAATTTAAGGTAAAATAATTGCAATAAATTATGCAATTTTAATAATATTACAAGTATAACAAAGTTTTTTATTCAATGATTATAAAACTTATCTTGAGATATGTGAAGTCCATCTAATGTTAAGTCACGTACTGTTAGTAAATATTAATCTCTAATTGTCTGTTCAAGAAAAATTATATGTATTAAATGACTGTTTTTCTTTAATTTTATAATCGTATATATGATTGATTACTAAATAGTTATGTTGTGGCAACTATTTTTAGTTTAATTTAATTATTGAATTGTAAAATTTACCTTGTCATTCTTGTAACCAATGACAACAACAAGCATATAATTTTCCGGTTTTATTTATTTATTTATTATTTTTTTAATCTCAGTCTTTAATGCCTATCTACT